GAGGAAGAGGGAAAAGAGGAAGAGGAGAAGAAGGAGGAGGAGGAGAAGGAAAAGATGAAAAAGAAGAAGAAGAGGAAGAGAAAAAAGAGGAAGAGGAAGGAGGAGGTTCACTTAACTGCCGATTCCCGTACGGCTGTGGCAAGAGAAAGTCATAAAACGGGACAAAACTAATTTCTCGCTGTCTGGCTTAGCCGCACTGATTTGGGGCTCAGCTGCCGTCGTAAGTCAAGTGGCCACATTCCAACGAACGACGCCGATGGTCCGAAATTTGGGCTCCGGCCGAGCAGCACGGCGCGGGGGACGCGAGGCCAGAGGGAGGGAGGGAGGGAGGGAGGGAGCCTCCGTTTGAAACCGACGTTCCTACCAAGGACCGGATCCAGGGCCCGTTTCGCTGCCTCCGTCCGTTCGGTGGTCGCTCCCGGATTCTCGCTGAGGCCAGAGGAGCCGGAAGGGGACGGAGGCTCTGCGGCCGGAGGGCTGGGCAACACCCCGCTGGTCTGCTTGGAGATGGACTTGGCGATGGCCAGAAAGAGCTGGATGTCGTTGTAAGAGAGGCGGATGTCGAGGGTTTGCAGCTGGATCTGGGATGGAGGGGGGAAATAGCAGCTGTGAGAAGGAAAAAAAGACCCCCCCCTCCCCAAATTGGATGCGCAAAGGGATATTCCACACGGCTGGGAAAAGCCTGACTCTTCCAATCAATCAATGAGCTGGGGGGACGGGAACTTGGAGGTCTTCTAGTCCCACCCCTTGCTGAGGTAGGAAACCCTAGAGAATAGGAATCAATCTATCAATCAATCAGAATAGAGCTGGAAGGTCCCTCGGAGGTCTTCTAATCCAACCCCTCGACCGTTCCAGAGAAGTGATTGTCCCATCTCTTCTTAAAAGCCTCCAGGGATGGAGCAACCCACCACTTCTGGTGGCCAGCTGTTCCACTGGTTAATTGTCCTCCCTGTCAGGAAATTCCTCCTTAATTCCAGGTTGTTTCTTTCCTCGACTAGTTTCCATCCCTTATTTCTTGTCCTTTGGAGAGAATAAGTGGACCCCTCCCTCTTCTTGGGGGCAGCCCCCCAAATCCTGGGAGGCTGCTATCGTGTCCCCCCCTAAATCCTTCTCTTCTCTACACCCGGCCAAACCCAAATTCTGCCACCATTCTTCCGATGTTTTTGTCTCCGGGCCTTTAATCATCCTAGTAATTTGCTCTTCTCTGCGCTTTTTCCCGAACTCTCAACCTCTTTTTTCCCCCCTAATTTCTCTTTTCACTTATTTCCAAGGCGGGAACACTTTCGGGGGGTGGGGAGGGACCTCACCTCTAGAAGGGGAGGGAAGTCTCCCCCGTTGAAAGCATCCAAGAGACCCGATCCGTTTGGGTAGGAAGAATTCCCCACCAGCTCAAGCTGGATGAAGGCCGGATCCAGGATGGAGAGCGCCGTTTCCTGCTCGTTGCCCAGGCGGCAGGAGAAAACCTGGAAGAGCAGAATTCGACCTGTAGACCCCCTTGGGAGGCTACCTTGCCTGGAGGGGGGACTGGAAGGAGGGAGGGGCAACCCGGGTGGCAACCTAGCGTTCTCACCTCGATGCCCGACAGGCTGCCGGAGAAAGGATGGTCGACCACTTTGGGCTTGTACGTCAGGACCGTCGTCCCCTTCAGAATGACGGCATTGGTGTCGGAGCAGGTCATGTCTTCGACCACCACGAATTCCGTATCTGCAGGAGGGGAATGGAAGGGTTGCAGGTGGCAGGGTGGAAGAACTGGGAAGAGGAGGAGGAGGCCACCCCCCGCCCATAGATCTTGAATAGAAGAGGATAGAGCCGGAAGAGACCTTGGAGGCCTTCTAGTCCAGCCCCCTGCTCAAGCAGGAGACCCTGGACCATTTCAACCGACCGACTCGAATAGGTCGCTTTGCAAATAATTAGCTGGGGTTCACAGACCAAGCCAAATCCAGGGGATAGTTTGCCCCAGGTGTGGCCTTCGGCACCTTCGCCGAGCTTCGTTTTGTTCCACAAGCCACGATTAAGCCAACCAGGTTTCCCCGGTGGGAACCCCCTCCCCCCCCTTACCGGTTACGTTGACCTTGACCTCCAGCTGTTTCTCCGTGGAGATCTGGAGCGAAGAACGCTTGGTGACTATTCCGCACTTGACGGCTTTGGGGATGACGGCCGCCGTTTCGGCCCCCAGGCTGCGCTGGCGGGCAGGAGGCGGCGGGGAGGGCCTCTTGGGGTCGCTGGGGGTTTGGAGGAAGTCGTGGACCAGCACCAGCCAATCAAAGATCAGGAAGACGCGGAGGTTGTTCAGGACCACCGTGAAGGAGGAGGAGTCCTTGGTCGACCTGGAAGGGAGGAAAGGAAGCGGCTGGTTAGCGCAAACGGTAATGAGGCAGTTTCCTTCCTTCCTTCCCTCTCTTTTCCTTTCCTTCCTTCTTTTCCTCCTCCTGTCCCTCCCCTTTCTCCTTCCTTTCTTCCCTCTCTTCTTCCATATCCTTTTTTCCTTCTCCCTTCCTTCCTTTCGTTCTTCTCCCTTCCTTCTTTCTCTACCTCCTGGGGACCGGAAGCTTCCTTTCACCTGTAATGCAACTCAATCTGGATTGCCCCTTGAGAATGGTTGTTCTTTGAAGGCTGGAAAATGCAGTTGAAGACGTTGGGCGTTCCCGCAGAGGCCCTCTGCCCTCCGTATCGCGTGTCGAAGGCCATCATGGAATGGGAGACCAGGTTGATGGATCGCGTTTGATTGGAGAAACTCTCAAAGAGCAGCTTGGATTTTTTAAAGTCAAACCTAAACCAATTTGAAGGAGGGAGGGGGGAAAGAGAGAGAGAGAGAGGGAGGGAGAGACAAGAGATGAGAGGAAGGAGAGAGAATATATATGTATGTGTGTGTGTGTTCGGGTATTTTCCCACGTCATTGTAGTTGTGCTTTTAAAGTTGTAGCAATATTTCGGCAGAATCTCATCTACCATCATCAGGCTTCTGTATTGTGTTTGTGAGCGTATATATACATATAATATATATACGTATACATATAATGATACATATACATATATATATACACACACACACACATACATACATACATACACACACACACACAATTTGTTTTCTTAATACCATACATGTACCATACATATCTGAATACCATACATACATACATATATATACACACATACACACACATATACATATATTTATCCAGATTAATTTGATTAATCTTATTATTTAACAATTTTAATAATTATCTTCATTAATTATCTTAAGGGACATTTTTTCCCTCGTGCCATCAGGCTGCCGAAAACCTAACTCTCGCAGTGCTGTTCAATGTAATTTCCTGCATTTATTTCATTTTATTTTGGAAAAGTTTATATTTGCCTTTCTTGCATTACCCCAAGCCCTAGTCCGATTACTACAGTGTTCCCCCGTGTAGTAGGGCTGCAGCAGGTTCCTCCCCCGAAAGCCGAGCTGTGCTAAGATCCGTGAGAGGGATCCACCATACCTGGCCAGGGAGCTTTGCTGGAGCTGAGGGCTGGTCAGTTCCAGACTCACGTTGACCATGTCAATGAGGAAGGACAGGCAGGTGTAAACCTCGCCACTCAGCACCGTCTGGAAGAAGGAAAAACGCTCAACTCTTGAACATAACACTTTTGTGCCGGTGTTTACCAGCTTTGCTGAATTCTGAACTGGGAAGCAATTCCAACCCCAAAGTCCAGCTGACACATTATGTACCCCTCAAGTTTTCTTTTGCAGGTTTTATACAAGGGAGGAGAGAAGGCAAAAGAGGAGCTGAAGGAAAGAGGGAGGGAAAGGAGGAGGAAGAAGAGAAGGGGGAGGGAAGAAGGGAGGAAGGAAAGTACAGACAGAGGGATGAAGGAAGGGAGGCGGGGGAGAAAGGAGAAAAGGAAGGAGGGGAGGGAAGGGAGAAGAGGAGAGGAGAGAAGGAAAAGGAGAAGGGAGAGAGAGGAAGTATAGATGGGGGAAGAAGAAAGGGAGGGGGGGAGAAAGGAGAAAAGAAAGGAGAGGGAGGAGAGAAGGAGAAGAGGAAGAAGAGAAGGGGAGGGAGGGAAGAAATATAGATGGAGGGAAGAAGAAAGGGACGAAGAAGAGAAGGAGGGAGGAAAAAAGGAAATAAATGAAGAACTAACACAGGGACTGGCTGCTTCCTTTCACTGGGGGCTGAACTGTAATTAATTTTTTTTTTTAATGCTTTCCACAATATAATAATGACATATCACAGCAGGGACCCTGAAACTTTTCAGCCTCTTTTTAGGATTGTTTCTGATTTAATCTTTCGGCACCCCGAACCCCAAATCACACCGCTGATATTTTCATTCTTAAGTTTTGAACTGGAATTAAGAAGAAGCTTGACGCGCAATTAAAACAAAGACAAACCAAAACCGAAACGAAACACCATCTCACATGTATTCGAGGGTCCTGCAAGTCGTAAGGCCGTATGAACTCCTCCACGGGTTCCCCCAAATTGTTCTCCAAGAGACCCCGAACGAGCTTGTATTTACTCAGATCCAGAGAACAGTGGACTGAAGAGACAGTGCCGTGGACAGAGATATCCGGCACGGCGTGGCTGATCTCCCTGGATGCGGGGGACGGGGGGACGGGACGGGGACAAACAAAAACAGACCACCTTTGTGGCACAACCATCATCCGACAACTCAATGGAAGTACAGGTATCCCGTCCCCCCCCAAAATACAACCTACCCTGAAAGTAAGTCCTAGCGTGATTTTTACACCTGCACCCAGTATAAGCCCGAATTAAGATCCCACCCACTCCAGAGTGGATGGGTAAAAATTAAGCCAGGGTGGGGATGGGGAGGTAGTGGAGCTGCCCTACTACTTACCTTTGTACAGGTGCAGCCGGGCCTCGCACACCCCGACACCTGCCTGGCCGGCCCATTTCTTCTGCAGCCGGCAAGGCTTTCCCCAAGGCCTCTGGAGCTGAGAACAAAGCTCTGGATCGATCCTATCGGCTGCAGAGGCCTTCAGGAAAGCCTTGCCGGCTGCAGAAGAAGGGGTGTGTGTGTGTGTGTGTGTGTGTGAGAGAGAGAGAGAGAAAGAAAGAAAAAGAAAAGAAAGAAAAAGAAAGAGAAAGAAAGAAGGAAGGAAGGAAGGAAGGAAAGAAAGAAAGAAAGAAAGAAAGAAAGAAAGAAAGAAAGAAAGAAAGAAAGAAAGAGGCTTCAGGGTTGACAGCTGTGCTAACACCTCAGCTGATTTTGATTCTCTGCCTCTGTTTATGCAACCAAGGATCGTATTGGCTTTTTTGGCTGCTGCCGCACACGGCCGGCGCAGGTTTAAGCGATCGCCCGCTGGGACTCCAAAGCCCATCTCATTTTATTACTGTTCTTGAGCCAGGATTCGCCCAATCTGGACTCGTCCCCGAAACCCCAACCCGGAAGCAGGCCAGACGGGGACCTGAAAATGCTGGGAAAGGCACCACCTCACCTGTCCAGGTTTCTTTCCACTTGCAACTTCAGCCTGAAAGGCTCCGCGAGGAAGCTGCCTCCCGCCTGCCGGATGACGAAAGACGGGAAGGTCAAATCCACCGAAGCGTCCGGGACGGGCTGGGAATATTCGCGGGAGTATCGTTCCGCGGCGAAGATGTCCATGTCCTGCAGGTCAACCGTGATGCAGTCCAGCAGGCAGGGCTGCTCCTCTGCAAAAGAGCCAGCCGGGGGGCTGGGCGTCATTGATACTGTTCCCTAGCTGGGTCGTGAAACGTCTGCAAGAAAACCACTTTCTCTCCTCCAACAGAGAGAGGAGGAGGAAGGAGGCTCTCTCGAAGTAGCAGCTCCCTCACTTACCAGGACTATCCGTCGACAACCAAGGAGAGGATGGGGCCGGATCTGCCCCGAGTTCTGTCTTGTGCTCGCTTTTTTGACCACCGACAATCGATTCCGAAGAGGACTCTTTGGTGGGCAAACCTTCCGAGAAATGGGGGGCTTTCTTGGATTCCTCGCCACTTGGAGTTTTCTTCACGTTATGCTTTGGGGCCCCCAGCGGTGGGGAAAACAGAATGGGATCCTAATTTTTAAAAAAAGGGAGTGTGTAAATTAGCAATTTGGTTTTTGTTTTGTTTTGTTTTTTTAAATTGAGTCTTCACAGCAAGGCCATTCTGCAGACCTATCCTATAGCTCCCCCCCCAAAAATTAATAAATTAAAAGGCACGCCGTACGGGCACAACCAACCAAACCAAACTCTAAAACTACTTTTTTTTTTCTTTTCCTGAATTCTGCAGCTTTTAGGAAGGTTAAATTTTGGAATTTAGAGTTCTGTTTTTTGGGAACTCTAAAAATATAACTCAAAAAAAACCCAAAATGGAAGCCTTAAGGGAGATCGCTTTAGGTTCTGCCCATTTCAGAAGCAACTCAAGACCGACGCAGAATCCCGCGAAAGCTCTCAGTTTGAACCATGGAACACCTGCCCCCAGACAGGTAGGTAAAATACCTTCCATAGAACAGGATCCTTACACACCTTGGCTTGCAAAATGGAATCCTCCAAAGAAGGTAAAAAAAAAAAAAAAAACGGGAGAAAAATTACACGCGGGTCGTTTTTACGGTTTTCCTAAACGGCCACAAGGCTCTCGAGAAACGGAAGGAACGGCGGGACGGCTCACCTTATCTTTGAGCGAGAACGTAGCAGAAGTGCCTGCCAGCAGGAAGCAGTTCTTGATTTTGAGTTTCCCCAGATTGGCTACGATAAGCTGGCTGGATCTGGAGCTTTCCGGAATGAGAAGGACGGGGGCACCGGCTTCGATGTCCAGGAGGATTCTGGCTGCTCGCTGGGCCTGGTCTCTCACCTGAAGGAAGGAAAGAAGGAAGGAAGGAAGGAAGGAAGGAAGGAAGGAAGGAAGGAAGGAAGGAAGGAAGTTAGTTTTAATTATAGGCCACTGGTGACTTTCCAAGCTACCTCAAGGAGAGACATCCAGATCGTGGTTGTCCCAAAGGGGCTTTTTCGAGAGGCAACTGGACTCCCTTGGGTTTTTTCTTTGAAACTATAAACTAAAAATAAAACTAAACTGAACTAAAACTAAAAGTCAACTCAAAGGAAATTAAAACTAAACCTAAACTAAACTTATAACTAAACTGGATTAAAAACTGAACTGAACTAAAATTAAACTGATCTAAACGTAAACTGAACCAGAGGTGGGGATTCAGCAGGCTCCGACCAGTTCTGGAGAACCGGTAGCAGAAATTTTGAGTGGTTCGGTACCCCACCTCTGACTGTCCCCGCCAACCCCATATCTCTTCTCTGCCTCCCATTGAGTCCCAGCTGATCGGCTGGGTCTCCTTTGGTTGCCCTGCCCAGGAGAGCGGAGCTGGAAAGCAGGTTAGTGGGGTGGGGAGGGAAATGAGGATTTTGCAGTATCCTTCCCCTGCCGCGCCCACCCAGCCTCGGGCTACGCACCGTTTGCCCCTCCACGGCCGCCCTCTGACGGCCCAGGACGTCCTGCAGCTGTGTAAAATGCTGGATGAAGGAGACGACCTCCGCTTGGAAGCGCTGGGTGTGAATGTACTGCACCGAAGCCATCCGCAGGCTGACCCGCACATCGCACTCCCTCTGGAGGGTCACGTCCGGCCGGCCGTACCTTGTGGGGGCGAAATCAGACGATTCGGTCATGCTTTTTTCTTTTTAACCCAAGAGGATTTCTCCTGGATCTTTAGTGGGAAGGAAGGAAAATAGGGAGGGAAGAAGGCAGGCAGGCAGGCAGGAAGCCCTGTTCTCACTAGGCTCTGCCTCCGTTGCTCAGAAAACAGCAGGTAATTATTCGCCTCCAAGACCTCTCCAAAATCAAGAGATCCCCTTGCTAGTTTCCCGAGCCACCGGGAAATATCGTACCCCAGTTTCACTCCCCGCGCCCTCGCTCCTCGTCGGTTAGCCAAGATGGGACCCCTGGCAAAACTTTTAAGAAATAAAAACAAACCCAGCTCAGAAAAGGAGATTCAAACCACCTACTTGTGGACATGGAAGATGAGGGCCTCTTCTCCGCTGGTCGTGAAGCGTTCTCTGTACAGCTCTCCGTGGGAGGTGAGGTCGCTTAAGGATAAACTCCCGATGCTTCCCCGGAAGGTCAAATCGCCTTCTGCAAGAAGAAAAGGTCCCACCCTGGGGTTGGCTGAACTGGGATTCATGGACTAAAACCCCAGTTTGCCACTGTTCTCCAACACAGTATTATTTTTATTTATTTATTTATGTATATGTTTTTCTTGGGTGTATAAAAGTGCTTAATAAAGAGTGTACTGTCTGGGTCAATTTACTATTATTATTATCATTATCATTATTATTATTATTATATTATTATTATTATTTATTGCTGGCAGCAACCCAAATCAACCCATCAGTGCCAGTTAATAATATTTGTCATATATTTTTAAATGTTCAGTTGACTGGGTTTCATGTTTAATGAATAAAGTATATAATAATAATAATAATAATATCAATGCTATTTATTTATACGTAGCGATTCTGAAGTTGGAGGCGGGATAAATTTAAGAGAGAGATCTGAATCTCATTTCTTTTCCACTGGCGTTTTAAGCATCAATTCTGCCCAATTTTCGACGGGATGCTTTAGGGGTAGAGAAGCCACTTGCTGTGTGGTTAAAGGGGAGCGATTTTTTACGGGCCGGGAAGGACTCTGAAAGGTAGGATACAAACCTCCCACTCCACCCAAGGGTTACTGAGTTGACAAGCACATACCTTGCGGGTAATTCAGACTCACCTGTCGTCTCCATGTGAGTGACGAGTTTGGATACGCTGGCTTTGGCCAGTTCATTGGTGGCCTTATTCAGCACCATGGACAGAGAGTGGACCTGTTTTAAAAAGGAAAGAATGACCAATCAGATCCAGGCCTCTTTTTTCGAAATAAGCGGGATAACTTCCTGCCTGCCTACCTACCTTCAGGTCCAGCTTGGAATTTACCGACTCCTCCGGCGCCTCATCGTCCGTCGAGGGGTTCGACTCCGATTTCGTGGTCTGCTGGACGCCCCCGCTCGACGTCGCCTTGACGCCGTGATTCTCGGCCGTGGAGCCGATGCTGAAGAAATCCAGGATCATCACCCAAGTCTGCAGGGTGACGAGGATGTCCAGGCAGTTGAAGTCGATGTCCACGCTGCGGTTGATCCGGTTGTGGCGCGAGGCGAACTCCGGGTGCCTCTTGTCCACCAGGAGGACGTTGATGTGCACCAAGGAGTCGTCGAAGTTGCTCCTTCCGGAGGCCGCGGCCGGCCCTCTGTCGGTGGGGGAAGGCGGAGGGGTCAGCGGGCAGCTCTCCTCGTCCTCTTTGGGGTGCTTCGGCTGGGAGAGGCAAGAGGGCCGCTGGTAGAACTGGAAAACGTTGGGGGCTTCCTCCATATGGGAGGGGAGAGAGCGAGGCATGTCTGGGTACTCCACGTTGGAGACCAGCGGGCAGGACTGGGAGAGGTACTCCTTATGGGCCAAGTTGGAAGGTTTGGGGGCCCCGTGGGAGACCATGAGGTTCTTGTACAGGGAATCGGGGTTCTTCACCAGGAGGTCCTCCATCAGCAGAGAACGCAAGGCGGTCTGGATGGACAGGGTGTGGGGGTGGTCCTTGGAGAACTCCACGTCGAAATCCTGGAAGGTCAAGCTGACCAGGCCTTGCGGGGCCCCCAGGGTCAGGTCGCCGCTAAGCTGGACCTGCAGCTGGGCGATGTGGAAGGTGGCTTGGATCTGAGTGAAAGGTTGGCGGGACCCCTGCGCCGGCGGGCCTTTGGCCTGGGCATAGGTCGCGTGGGTGAAGAAGCCGTTTTCCTTGCGGCCGGAGGAGAAATCGGCACTCAGGCTCCGGAGAGAGGACGGAGGAGAAGCCAAGCTGGAGTAAGTGGGCGATGGGAAGCTGGACGGAGGCTTGGTCAGGTCCTCGCTGCACACCAGGTTGTCCAAGGTCTGCATCACCTGCTCGTAGACGTGCTTGGCCAAAATCACCTGCGCGGTTTGGAAAGGAGCACAAGGGGACATGGATTTTGATGGAATCTCCGATTTGTCGTCGTTCGGGTGTCTAAACCCCAGTTACAAGGTGGCCACGGTGGAAGGACCTTCCGATACAAGGCAGACCTTGACTTGTGGCACGGCGGTCTAGAAGTGGCGCTCTCCCCTCGCCATCGGGGGAGGCTGCGAGTTCGATTCTAGGGAGAGGCAAGATATTTCCCTCTCTGGGCACGCTGAGAATATATCTGCTGGGCGGGGGAAACTCCGTACTGGTGACAGGAAAGGCATCCGGCCAGTAAACACTCGACTCTGTTCAGTGGCCCCCACTGCGAGGGATTATGGGGTCATTAAACCAAGAACGACAAGAAGACATTTCACTTCTCATCCCAGAAGCTTCTTCCGCTCTGACAGGACGGTAAGGAATGGATTTCCAGAGAGGAAAAAATCGCAGGCAACATTTGCACCACTCAGGTGACCCCGAGGACACAGATAAACCTCCAAGCGGCCTCAACGACCTCTAAAAGGACGCAAATGACCAGCTGCCTGCAAGAAATATAAATCCTTCCCTTCCCCAACCTTCCGTCAGAGCGGAAGAAGCTTCTGGGATGAGAAGCAAAATGTCTTCAAAAGAAAAAAAACAACAACAACAAGAAAGTCCAAGTTGCTTCCTGAAAAAAATAAAAGCCCCTTTGGGATGTCTTTCTCGTTCTTCCTTGGGATCCCTTTCCAAGGAGCAAATATTTAGCTTAGCGGCTTCCGTTCCTCGCTGTGGAGGACGGAGCTGTGGAAAAGACGTGCGAGATTTCGGAGGTGGCTTTTACCTGCAGAGGGTTGACAAACTTCCCTTCGATCCTCATCAGGTTTGAAATGTTGACACCGTCACTTGGAGGGAAGGCCAGCTCCGCGCTGGGCTCCACTGGGATCTTCTCCAGGATGAAGTGGATGGTGGCGTTATTCAGAATGTGGAAAGCTGAAAACGGAAACGCTTTGTCGGATTGTTTGTTTCTCAACCCAAAGTGACTTTAAGGGGGTGTGGATTCCAGGACCTGGAATTGGCTGGGGGAATTCGGGGAGTTTATGACACACCTGGGAGGGGATGGGGGGGAGGGGAGGAAACAGGGTCCCCAGGTAACTGTAAAGGATATAGGCCAGAATTGGTTCCGTACAGGGCGGGGCCAGGATGTCGCCTCTAATTAGTCCTCGGACGTTTTTTGAAGCTGGGCTCGAGGATCACGGTTTAATGAGGGCGACGGCTGGAATCCTGACCCCGGCAGCCTTTCCCACAAACTTACCTTGGCCCTTGTGTAACGATTCGAAAAAATCGTGGCGGGTGAACTGGGACTCTTCCGGGTAGCCGCAGCTGGCGAAGCCGGGAGGGGAAGGCAACGGGGCGGACGCCTCCGACGGCGAGTCCTTTTTGCCCGCCAAGTGGCTGCAATTCAGCGAATACATCTTGATGTCTCTGATTTCCACCTGCAGGCTGTCGCTCCTCAGGTTGTCTTCGCCCGTCACGAAATTCTGGATGGATATTTGCCCTAAGTGACCAACCAGGAGTTCGGGGCTGCCCGGCTTGCGAGGGATGGAGACCACGGGCGACTCGATCTTCACGTTTAAGACCAGCTTGATGGTGTCTGTCTTGGGGTACACTGGGGCCTGCTCTTCCCCCTCCTCCTGTTCCAGGTTAAAGGGGTCTCTGGACCTGGGCGCCGTGTCGAAGAGGGACAGCATCTCACTGTACTCCGCCGTCTTGGTGGCCAGGACGGTGGTGACTTTGTCGGCCGCGCTCTTCAGCATGCCACGGAAATTCTCCTCCAGCTCGTCCAGGGACAAAGCGATCTCCTTCAGGAACTTGGCGGAGTGGTTGTAGTGTAGGGAGGCCATCTGGAGAAGGAGGGAGCACTCCACGGCGGACTGCTCCAGGAAGGTGAAGCAGAGCGCGTCGGGGAGGCCGCTGGCGTCCTCGAACTGGGGGAAGGCCGGCCTGGGGTCGCCCACGTCACGGATCAGGCTCTCGTACCGCTCTGTGTTGCCGATGCTGACCACGTACTGGTTCCTGACGTTGTCCTGGGTCAGGTCCATAAGGTGCAGGCAGCCCAGGGAGCCGTGGAGCTCCAGCCGGCGGCCCATGGAGACGTTCACCTTGGTGCCGCCGATGCTCGCCGTGGCGATTTTCCGGCCGAATTTCTCTCGGTTGGCCAAGGTGACCGTCCTGAGGAGGAGGACGTTCAGCCAGTGGATCTCCACGGCCACTTCGACGCTTTGGGAGTGGGTAGACTGGAAATTCTCCCACTCGCCGAGGGTCTTTTCCGCATCGGTCATCAAGGGCTGGGGGCTCCCGTCCTCCTTCTCCTTGGGGAAGGACTTCTGGAGGAAGCCGATCAGCTCGACAATGGTCTCCGGGTTGAGGATGATGTCCAGGTTGTTCATCTGGACAGTCAGCACCTGGAGGGAGCTGTCCAGGTTCATGGACGGGCACTCGGCGGTGACAAATTGGTATTCCAGCTTGATTAAGGATTCGTCCCGCGTCGACGAGGAGGACGATGCGCCGGAGAGTATCTTGGAGGCCAGGGTGCACTTCTCAGCGACGTCCCCGGCGAGCAGGTTCTCGCCGAGGCCATTGACGGGGGACTGTGCTTTGCTGTCACGCAGGCTCCCCGTCGGGAGGTCGAAACTCAGGTTCTTGTGCGACGCCATCAAGAGGTCGAAGTCGGCGCCGTAGGTCTGCATGGTGTCGACCAAGAGCAAGCCGTGGACGGTGAGGGAGACCTCGACGTCGTACGGCCGCTTCACGAAGTGAGCGTTGGTGCCGAACACCTTGAGCACCGAGATGTAGCGGCCGTTGCTCTCCACCGCCAGCTGCATGCAGTTCACCTGGAACTCTGCCAGGAGCAGCTGGGATTCCACCAGCACTTCTTTGGTGTGTTGCTCTACCAGGATGACGCTCTGGGTTAAGTTCACCATGGAACTGTGCAGGCTGGCGCGCTGTTCCAAGCTCGGCAGAGGAGCCACTTTCCCCACCTGCGAGGTGTCCCGGTCAGGGGTGCTTAGCCTGCCGAAACAATTGTTCAAGGCCACGATTTTGTCTTCGTTGATGTGTATCTTCAAATCGGGCAGATGGCCCGAGAGCACGGCTCCGGGGTACTTGGGGTCAGAAGTGTAGATCAGCCGGCGTTCCAGTTGTAAGTGGACGTTAAACTTCTCCACCACGTGAGTCGGGCCCACGTCGATGTCTTGGGCGTATTTCCAGTTGTCCTTCACCCGCCCCACCATGATCTGGAGATCCATGAAGGACAAGGTGTAGGTCTCGTACATTTCTTTGCTCATCAGGTGCGCCTGGAGTTGCTCTTCACTGATTTCCACACCCGGGAATTCTTTGCTGCTTTTGTCCTCTCCAGCCAGGTTGGGTTCAGGAGGTGGGCTGTTGGGAGGGGTGGCAAGAGGGGTCTTGTATTCGTCGTCGCTCAAATCGCTCAGCTCTAGGGATGGGCCGTCTCCCGGACTCTTCTTTCTGTGCTCCTCTAGAAAATGAGGGGAAGAAATTCAGCCACGTGATCTTGGATAAACACACACACACGGACACTGGTCTACGACCACTTGCCACGGCCAACTCGCCATGGTCAACTTTCCATGGTCAACTTTCCATGGTCAACTTGCAATGCCCAATTCATCATGGCCAACTCACCAAGGCCAACTCACCAAGGCCAAGTCTCCATGTTCAACTCACCATGGCCAACTTGCCATGGTCAACTTGCAATGCCCAACTCACCATGGCCAACTTGCAATGCCCAACTTGCCACGGTCAACTTGCAATGCCCAACTCACCATGGCCAACTTGCAATGCCCAATTCATCATGGCCAACTCACCATGGTCAACT